TTTTTTTTTCATTTTTTTCATTTTTTCATTTTTTCTTTTTTCTTTTCTTTTGGGTAAACAAATGCTGAAAATGTTAGATTTTGGGGATTCCTAGAAAATGAAAGGCAACTGTTGCTCCGAATGGTGGTTGTGTATGTCTTAGTTGTTGGATTGAGAAGTAGGCATACTTGGTATTTGGTATTTCTGTAATGGGAATACTGTCTAAATAGTTAACCCGTATACATCTTGCTATCCCGAAATACTTTCATTGTACCTAGAGGGATATTGTGCTATGGCTCCAAAATAAGACTTCCATAACGCAGAAGAGATAGAGTTAATTTTGAAAACTTCCCAGTGTGGCACAACAGTTTGCTTCTTTAATCCAGAAGTATGAGTCTGATATAATTGGATTTGACTGAAATTCCCAATGAAGTAATACCCCTTCTAAATATAATAAACCATGACATCCCAATTTTTACCCTCAAACTGATCTTGACTTTTGTGGCACTGATGTTATCTAGCTACGTAACTTCATTTTTTAGCAAGACTGGATTTCCTACACCTGATTTCATTTTGTTAGACTTAAGGAAATGGAAAAAGAAGAAAGGAAATCCAGTCACAAGGCTGTTAAATGCTAAGCTATTTTTGCAGCTATAGTGCTATAATTTGTGGCTTTGTTTGTGAGTTCTATTTAATGGTAAAGCTTATGATTTTGCTTTTCTTAAACAGCAGAAGAGAGGCCTACAGTGATTCAATGCATCCAATTCCAATTCAGCATGATATCACCTCTGAGCATCATTTTTCTATGTGGAATGCTCTTGGAATGGCTGCATTTGCTTAGTTGCATCCAACACTTCAGAAAGTTTCCAGTTAGATAGTAAGTTAGAGACTTTATAGCCCCATCCTGCCGATATCAGCCTTGTTTTCCAGGGTGTTTTTTGGAGCCAAATTCAAACGTCTCAGATGTATAGAAGTGCTAGGAGTTTGTCTCTGTTCCTGGTATGATTATCTTTATAAGATACTCATCATAACATGATAATTTGGTCAAGGGCGCATCATCAGCCTTGTCAACTTTAAAATAAGCTCTTTTGCTGCATCATTGATCATGCAATGATTTCATCTCTATCACTTTCATTGTTTAATAGAAAGATACTTACACAAAGTGTTTAGAGAGTGTAATATGGAAAATTTTCATATCAGTCAATAGAGAAAAAATAGAGATTCATGTATTATTACACTCTAAACTGTAATTAAAAGTGTAATACTGTAATTTGTTCTATAGGTTTATTAAAATACCCTATAATATAAAAAATAATTTTATTTAAAATAATTTTATAAATCTATAAGATAAATTACATTTTTAATATATAATTCGCCCTTAAAACACTTATTTTTTAAAAAAAAAAATAAAAAATAAACGTTTAAACATAATATAAACGACTCTATCTATTATCCATTAGTTTTAATTCAAATGCTCATTTTGTATTCAAGCTCAACCTATGGAAACTTGATGCGTCACGTGTCTAAGTCATACAATTGGTGTAATAATTAACAAGCTGAAAATTTAAGACCACCAAGTTATTACAATCATTAAAATGTCAGAAAAAAAAAAGTAATTTATTTTTCTGAAAAATGTAGGGAATTGGAAATTCTAAGCATTAAATCCTTCACCATCGGGACTGTGTTCTTGATTCCTACTCTTGGGGTTAGTTGAGTTTAACTTCTGATCTTGATCGCAATTCTCAGAGCCAGAGCACTTGACATGTTGGCCCCCGCCAGAGTCATCAGTAGAGGAAGACTTCAATTTTTCCCTAGCCGACTTCTTTGCCTTCCTTCTATTCTTCAGCCTCTTTTGAGAATTGTGGACTTCTTGTTCTTTTTCTTGATCTCCTAACCAAACACAGGGACTTACTTAGATTATCCAAGAGCACTTGTCTTAGACGGGATCAAAACGAAAATAGGCTAACTCAATATCTTACGTGGCTTATCACTTGTAATAGCATCTTCCTTTGTGGCATTTTGTCGAACACCTACCGGTTCATTTTCCAGGGTACCTGCTGCGTGATGATCTACCGGTGGTAGTAAAGGCCCAATGAGTTTTCCTCGGCGACGGCCATCTTCTTTGAGCTTCTTCCTGCGGAGCCTCTTCCTCTGGGATCTAGTCAGCTTCTGAGGCTCACTATCATCTTCATAGTTATCCTCGCTTGTTGAGGAACTACTCTCCCCGAAATCATCTGCATTCGATTTGAAAGTTGAAACCATCGCATACCCAGATGGGTAATCAAATTTATCGACAAACTAGATCAAAACAATTAATCAATTTGGATTGCTGAACCTGGATTTATTAGTTCCACGTTAATGCCTCTTTCTGACTCCGTCAATGGCTTCTCTTCGTTCTGCGTTTATTAGGGGATCGAAATTAGAGTACTATGGAATGGAAATTGTAAAAAAATACAAAAACGCAGGAGGCAAAATGGCTATACGTGAGGTGAAGGAGGTGGCGGATACAGTGTGTTGAGAACGGCCTCGTGGAGCTCTCTTCGTCTCTCCTCGCGTCGCATTGAGTTTCTTCCGGTTTCGATCAGAGGCTGCTTTCGGGTTTAACTTATCCAAAATAAAAATAAACTCTCTATCTCCCCTTAATTCATTTCATTTTCATATGATGCAAATTGAATTTAAAATTTTTTATTTTTACAACAGAAAATTACCTCAAAACATTTAATTGATTTTCCCCTTTTCTTCTTTGATTTCCGTAGTGTTGATTCAGCCGACACATGTTTCATTTTTTAATTAATTATTTCTCCATTGATTGTCCATCTTGAATGGTCTCGATTAACTGACCTTCTTTGATATAGCGGTTTGGGAGTGATGGTTAGTAGTTTTATGTAAATATTTAAGTATAAGTTTTTAATAAATTTATATATTTTGAAATTATTATAAATAAAATATTTGATAAAATTTTTATTTAATAATTTAAGATTCATAGATAGCTATTAGGGTTTAAATTATTAATGGATTAAAAAAATTAATTTAGAAAATTTTTTGTATCAAATTGTTAATAAATTAAAATTTTTTAATTTTATTAATAAATTTATCCATTTTAATTTTTAAATTTTTTATCATATTTTTAATTAATATTTATTTAATAAGTTTCAATTTTATTTTTTCACATTTAATAACATTAAG